GCCATTGATCATTTCTTCTGTGATATCCCTGCCATGTTGTCTCTTGCCTGTATGGACACTTGGGGCTATGAGTACATGGTTTTTCTGAGCACAACCCTCTTTCTCCTTCTTCCTTTCCTTGGTATCACTGCTTCCTATGGCCGGTTCCTATTTGCTGTCTACCAAATGCGCTCAAAAGAGGGAAGAAAAAAGGCCTTCATCACCTGTTCAACATATTTAACTGTAGTGATCTTTTACTGTGTACCTTTTTTCTACACCTATCTTCAGGCCAGGAATCTCCACTCACCAGCAGAAGGCAAGATCCTGGCAGTCTTCTACACCATCCTCACTCCCATGCTCAATCCCATTTTCTACAGCCTGAGGAATAAGGAAGTCCTGGGGGCCATGACAAGAGTTTTTGAGATATTCTCCTCCCTGAAAGAATGATCATGGCTGTCCATTCTTCCATTCTATATTTCCCTTTTACATATTGATTAGAACATCCTAGAACAGTGTTGTCTGATAGAAATATAATTTAAAATTTTCCAGTAGTCATATTTAATCAGTTAAGCTAACTTAAATAATATATTTAATTCAAAACATTATCAATATTAACAATATCGATATTAATTATGTAGTATATTATTTAATGATATGTGCAATCTATATTGTGTATATATATTACTATTAGTGCAATATTTATACTGATATCAAAATATTCTTTCCACATGTAATTAAAATTTCTTACACAATCTATTACTTTGTTTTCATTCTAAGTCTTCAAAGTCTTGTATTTATTTTATACTTAGAGTACATTACATCTTCTAGTCTGAGGACATAAAACAAGTAGAGAATGAGGGGGATGCACAAAATAATAATTATAGGATAACAATTAGCTAGGAAACTATGGCTAAAGGAATACATAGTGAAGAGGGAGCCAGAGACCCTGTTAAGTGGAGATGAGTTGGGTAATTATCTTAGTGAGGTGCCTTGTTGTCCAACTTTAAAAATTACCTACAGTAAATTCTGATAAACGATATAGCAAATGAGAGGAGGTCTGAATAATTTGACTTCTTTTTATATTGCTCTACCTGGTGTTAAAAGTTTAAGGGGAATGGAGTGGCCTGTGGGTGCAGACACAGTATCAGTGAGGATTAGTTTATTGCTTTCCTGAGCCAGTGGACTAAAGGGGTAAAAGATTTCAAAGAGTCCTTTCAGTATTCATTGGAGATCTCCTTACCCCCACTTCCGTAGTTGTTGGCACAAAAATGTGGGATTATCCTTGCTTTTGCAGGAACGTCAGTAGAAGGGACGTCAACAATACCATCCACTGATACAGGGTACAAGGCTTCCAGCTTGCTTTGTGGAAAACTAAATTCAGAGAGATGACATGATTTCCCCAAGGCCATGGCATCTCAGAGGAAACACTAGAGCTAGCTCTCCTGATTCTCGTCATGGTTTACTGCTTGAAATGGGTAAAGGGTCTGAACTAAGCACCACTACTTGATTCAATTCTCTCTCAGACTTTTTCAAATGAAAACATCTGACAAAAACAGCAGACATTTTGTATTAGTCCATTCAAGCTGCTATAACAAAATAAACTGAATAGCTTATAAACAACAGAATTTTATTTCTCACAGTTCTGGAGGCTGGGAAGTCCAAGACCAAGGTGCCTGCAGATTCAGTGTGTGATGGGGGCCTGCTTTCTGGTTCACAGATGGTGCCTTCCCACTGTGTCCTCACATGGTGGAAGGGTAAACAAGCTCCCTGGGCCCATTTTATAAAGACATTAATTTTATTAATGGGAGCTCTACCCTCATAGCCTAATCATCTTCCAAGAGGCCCCAGCTCCTAATACTATCATGTTGGAGGTTAGGATTTGAACATAGGAATTTTGGGGACACACAAACATCCAGACCATTGCACATTCCCATCATTATTCTGGTTTGCACAATGCTATTTCTTTCCTAAGCACTCGTTCCAACCTTCCTAGGGCTGGCCTCCTTGGCATATGACCTGTGCAGCTACACAGGGTTCCACACTCAAAAGGGCCCCATGCTTGGTTCAATGCACAGCTGTTATCATATTGAAATTTTTGATAGTTTTATCTTGTGTGTGCATCTAAGCAGAGGAGTTTTGCTGGTGGCAGCAGCATTAGAATGAGGTTTTGGTCCAGCAGCAGCACCTGCACATGTGGAAATATGCAGCACACACACAGAACAATTCGCTTGGCCTTCCCATATGTGCACACACATGCACACACACGCACACACACACAAATCTTGGAATAGTTCACGGTACCACAGGATCCCAAAGCAGTGGCTGGGGTGGGACTAGGCTACATTGGTGATGGCGATGAAAGCAGCAGCAGCACAGGTAGCAGAAGGGGTACAAGTGGACACAACTGGGAGGAGAGGAGGTGATCTTCCTGGGAGCAGCACTGACTGGCAGTGGGAGGCAGATTTTCTCTTCTGTCCCAGAACCCATCCTTGTGGTGTTCACAAAATATTATGAACTATCTGGCTGAATACCAGGACAAGAAATACCACGGAATAACCAACAAACTTTGTCATTAAATTATGAGAAAATATAAGTGTATACATGGTCATTGCTATATAGCCCAATAGGGACTTCTTTGGATTCATCAACAAGTTCAGAATCTGTGGCTATGAATACTACTACAACATAGCAAAGCAAATATCTACAGACTCAGATATAGTGATAAAATTAAATATCCTTTAAATAATTAAAACATTAAAATTAAAAATTATTTAATGAAAAAACTTCTTTATGAAGATTCAGGTGAACCAATTGTTAACCATAAAGAAAAATTCTAAATTAATTTACCTTGTAATTGAAGATAGGGTGATAAACAGGCATGAAAACATTAAGCCATTTCCCCTTTTTTTTTTGGTCTGACTACCACAAATTATCAGAAATGTAAGAAGAATCTTTAAAATACTGGTGATTAAATCCATATTTAAACCTAAATTCATATTTATATGAAATGGATTTTTATGAACAACCGGACCTATTTATTTATTTATTATTTATTTTTTTGAGACAGAGTCTCGCTCCATTGTCCAGGCTAGAATACCATGGCATAAGCCTCGCTCACAGCAACTTCCAACTCCTGGGCTCAAGTGATACCCCTGCCTCAGTCTCCCAAATAGCTGGCACTGCAGGCTCACACCACCACTCCCAGCTAATTTTTCTATTTTTATTAGAAACGGGGCCTCACTCTTGCTCAGGCTGGTCTCGAACATCTGACCTCAAGTGATCCTTCCACCTCGGCCTCCCAGAGTGCTAGGATTATAGGTGTGAGCCACTGTGCCCGGCCAATACTGGACTTATTTAGAAAAACATGCTCCTTAAGAGTCATCAGCTACAGATGTATAATAATTTTTATTTTGAAATAATTTCTCAGAAATTTATCGTAATGTTTTTATGGCTTATAAACACAGCTTATTGTCTCAGTAACATAAACACACCCCATTTTCCCAGTAACATAAACAAAAAGATTATTTTTACAATTTATAATCATTAGGAATTGTGACCTAGCATGTACCACGAATGACTAGCAGTGCTTTCAGTTATATTGATTGAAAATGACATTGCTAACAGTACATATTTTTATGTTCTAATAAAAACATTAAAGAAATGTGAGCCAGAAGAATCTTCCGATCAATAAATATATCATATGATGAAGTATTTCTACTTGTTATCTATAAAATTAGGACACCAGAATGTCTGTTATTATATTACATTTTATATCTAGTATATTAATTGTGAAAACTCTTTATGTTTTCATACCTTCAATGGCATTTTTCCTTGATGTTTGAACAATGGGTTTCATATTTTTGTTTCTCACTGGATCTTCTAAATTATGTAGAGTCCTTAACCCATCTCTTTCCTGCCATGCCTCAGAGAGTGAAGAGTATTTCTATAAATGATACTTCTGGGCAATGATAACATTTCACACAGGAATCTCACCTGAGCTAAGGCACTATTATTGGATGTAATGGTAAAATATGTTTAGGGAAGTGACGGAACAGTAATATCAATGAATAAAACATGCCCATAGATATTTTCCTGATTCCTTTCAGTGGAAGTATGGGACTTAGTGAGTGGAAAATAAAACCCCAATTGACAGATATTACTTAATACAGGAGGTACAGTGGCTAGTTAGGATGTAAGCAGAGTGTGTGCTGAGTGTGAGGGAGGACAGTAGGAATTGTCTTGACATTCCTAGCTCCCACTGTTTAGATAAAAACTTTACCCACTTATCTTATAATTAACTTCTAATCATTATTTATCTCTGTTGGCCCCTCCCAGTCCTTATTGTTGATCTGAGATATCCCTGATTTTAAATAACTTCAGTAGGACTTGTTCCCTTACAAGAAGCATAATTGTGTCCTGTGCCATTCAGAGTGGTAAAAGGACTTCAGAAACTCTGATGAGCTCTCTGCTAAATCCATGTAATAATGAGTTCCCTAAATTGAAAGAAAGAACAACTGGTACAGGCAAATGAAGTGATATGCCATGAGCATGTATGAGAAAAACAAGAAATCTTAAGGCATCATTGAATTAGGTCTAACCATTCAGAAAATGTTATTTCTCTGTTTTACACATAAACAAATAATAAATTAAAAGTAATCAAAAAATAAATTGAAAATAGTAAAATTGGTATACTGAATGCCAACTTTGGTTAGGCAATTTTCACTTTCATTTCTACATGGCAAGAAAAAAAATTCTCATTGACAACATAATAGCAAAACCTAAATGCTTTCAAAATTGAGGAAAGAACTCCATGAAGGAAAAACAGTTGTTTGGAATTGTACACATACTTGTAAGACAATTTTGCCCAGATACAAATGATTTTCTTCTTCTCTAGATTATTTTTAGTTCCTGATCCATTCATAAAATGATAATTGGAAGTATTATATACATTCACAGATGTGCACCTGGGTCCTGCAGACAGAGGCACAAAGTTTATCTACATTTTCACAGAGTATATTCTCTGAACCACTCATCTCAGGGCCCCCATCACCTCCCTGTTTCTTAGCCTGTAGATGATAGTGTTGAGCACTGGTGTGAGGATGGTGTAGAAAACAGCCAGAGCCTTATCCTCTGTTGGAGATCTGAGGGATCTTGGGCGCAGGTAGGTGTAAGCAAAGGGAGCATAGTAGAAAGTCACCACATTGAGGTGGGTGCTACAGGTTGAATAGGCCTTCTTCCTACATCCTGCTGAGTGCATGCGGTAGACAGCAAGGAGAATCCGACCATAGGAACAGGCAATAACAATAAAAGGAAAGACAAGAAGGAGGGTGGTGCTCACAAACACTGTACACTCATAGACCCAGGTGTCCATGCAGGCCATAGTCAACATGGCTGGGACATCACAGAAGAAATGATTAATGGCCCTTGATCGGCAATAAGGTATGTGGAGTGCATATGCAGTGTGGGCACAGGAGTTGATTGAGCCCATTATCCAAGATCCTGTTATCATCAGCACACACACTCTTTTGCTCATACGGACGGGATAGTGGAGAGGAAAACAAATAGCCACATAACGATTGTAAGCCATAGATGTCAGGAGCAGTGCTTCTGCACCTCCTAATGTCAGGAAGAAGAAACTCTGAATCCCACATCCGATGAAGGAGATGGACTTGTTTACAAACAGAAAATCAGAAGCCATCTTGGGGACAATGGTGGAGATGTAATTGATGTCAATGAGGTAGAGCTGACTAAGTAAGAAATACATGGGTGTGTGGAGGTGGGTATCCAGGAGGATGAGGAGGATCATGGACTGGTTGCCGATTAGAGCTATTAGAAAAATAAGAACTATGAGAATGAAGAGGAAAAGGCCAATTCTTGATGGTGGGAACAGCCCCAACAAGATGAAATCAGTTGATGTTTGATTATAATACTCCATGGAGCATTCATATGATATTTCCTAAGGGAGAGAGAAGAGTAAGCAGGTTAAGTCTAGTATTTCCCTTTATTCACAGGGAATATGTTCTATGAATCCTAGTGTATGCCTCAAACTGGAGATGGGACTTAACTCCAAATACACTGTTTTTTCCTATGCCTACGTATTCTATACATACATATTCCTATACATACATACATGATAAAGTTGAATCTACAAATTCAGCATTATAAGAGATTAACAATAACTAATAATAAAATGAAATAGTTAAAACAATAAACTATTATAAAAGTTATGTGAATGTGGTCTTTCTTTCTCTCTCTCTCTCTTCTCAAAATACCCATTGTACTGTACTCATCCTTCTTTTTTTGTGATGATTAGAGATGATAAGTGCCTACAGGATGAAATAAAGTCAGGTAAATAATGTACGCATTGTGGTGTAGTTTTCAGCTGCTACTGAAAGCCAATTTAAAACTTATAAATTGTTTATTGCTGCAATTTTTCTTTGTAATATTTTCAGGTCATAGTTGATAATACGTAACCAAATCCACGGAAAGCAAAACAGTGAATAAGAGGGGCTACATTATAGAAATTGAAGCCAATTTTTAAAAAATTCTTATTTTAGACTGTGAATTATTCATAAAACTTTATAGCTCTTAAGTGAAGAACCTAACTGACCTATTTTGAAAAATAAAATATTTCTTTCTTGTCCAGTGATTAATATTTGATAAGGCAAATATCTATGAACAAATTTTAAAATAAATATGTAAATTTATAAGAACAAAACATTTATATTACAACTTCAGTAGGATATGAATGTTTTAATGACTGACACAAATTCAGATATCATCAAAGTCAGATGTTATACTCAAAATATATGCACATAAAAAAACATGCATAGAAAGACAATGTAAATTCACACATTATAGATCCACATTATGAATAAGTTAACATTACCCTTAAGATAGAATTTCTCTTCCTTATTTACTCTTTAAGACTTACCCTTAAAACTACAGCAGACTATCATTCATTTTCAGGAACTATAGTTCCTTTTTAAGTGGTGTTTGCACAATAATGCCGAGTTAAACATCCTTCAAGTTGGGTATCATTTGATTCTTCTATTCAGAAATCTTGAGTGACTCCTTATTGCCAAGGATCTCTTACACAAAGTCCTATTAATTCATACTCTTAATTTTCAATGTTCACCGCAATCCATTTTCTTTTACCTCCTTACCCAATTTCAGAATATTCTAGTTAAAGCAGACCCTTTACCTGAATAGGTATGTGTCAATGCCATGTTCATTTTAGCTCCCGTGTCTCTGCTCAAGCTCTCCCCAAACAGGATGTGCATCCTGTCTCTTTGCTACTCTCATTCTTAGATAACATCGTACATTGCCTTCTGGATCCTTCAGAAGAAGTAATGTGAATAGAGAAATGGTAAGTCACCTAACGGAGAAAAGTGAAATAGCATGTTGAGAGCCTTCTGGATAGAGGTGGGTAGGAGAATTCAACTCCAGATAAAAGATATCAGTGAAGAACTTTGCACAGAATACCTAAAAGCTCTGTAGTGTTTTGCTCTTAAATATGATTCTAGAGTCAAAGGTCATCAGACTTTTAAGGAAGTATGACATGAAAGAGTAAGATCCACATAGTGTGCGTGCACAGATATGCACACACAAACATGCACACTCACACACAGTCATACACATGTGTAGACTGACTTAAAATGATCAGAAAAATGCAGAAAGTCAATGATTTTCTTTTTTTTTAAGCATTAATCTT